GGCCGGGCTCTCTCCCCTCAGGCCGGGCTCTGTCTCGGCCGGGCTCTCTCCCCTCAGGCCGGGCTCTCCCCTCAGGCCGGGCTCTGTCTCGGCCGGGCTCTCCGCAGGGCGGGCTCAGCCCGTTCAAACCCAACCGCCGCCCGTTCGGCCAATGGCGGCGCGGCGCGGCCCGATGACGTCACGGCGACGCAGTGATGCTGCTGCTGGTGATGGCGGCGCCCGCGGCCGCGCTCCGCGCCTGGGGCGAGGCTGTGGCGCGGGCCGCGGCGGCGGCGCGGGCGGCGGTGGCAGCCGCGGCCCCGCTGCTGGGCTCGCTGGCCGCGCTGGCGGCGCAGGTGCGGGCGCTGCGGCGGCTGCCGTGGCACTCCACGCCGCTCGGCGCCTTCCCGGACCTGCGGGCGCGCCTGTGGCTGAAGCAGCGCGGCGCGGCCGAGGCGCTGCTGGAGCAGCTGGGCGAGCGGCGGTGAGGAGGCGGCGGGGCCGGGCGGGCACGGGGAGAGGGCCGGGCTGACCCCGCTGTGCCGGCAGGGAGGAGCTCCGGGCCGTGCGGGACGCCGTGGGGGCCGCGGGCAGCGCGGTGCTGCGGCTCCTGGAGGAGCGGGGCCCGGCCGAGCTGTGGCTGGCGGCGCTTCTGCAGCGCGGTCCGCGCTGCCCCTCGCTGGCCGACGTGTTGGAGGGGCTGCAGGACGTGGAACGCTACTACCGGCATCTGTATCCTTCTGGGGCTGTCAGGGCAGCGCTGGGGGGGCTCTTTTGGCCTTGTTGTCCTTTACCAGGCACGAAGGTACTTGGAGATTAAACTGCTCCTGCAGCGTCTCAGCTTGGACAGCCTGGCTGACATGGAAGCCCTCCCGCAGTCCTGGGAGAGGATTTTGGAGCGTTACAAGGACGACGTTGTTCAAGGTAGTTGTGGGTGTTTCCCAGGGCTTTGATGTCCCCTGAAGACAGGCCTGGCTGTGCTGGTCTCAGCAACGTTTGGTGACCCTCCTTAGTCAATCTCTGTGACCTGCTCTGAGATCTTGGTCAGCTTCAGGTGAAAGTACTCACCATCACACCTGGGCACAGCTGGAAACAACATCCTCCCTCACAATGTGGCAAGAGCTCACTGCTCAGTCAGTTTTACCCACACTTCAAAAAAATTTCCTTTAGAAGCAAGTTTCTGAGAGTACAAAAATACAGGTAAAGCACATTCAGCTGACAGGGTTGTTGTTTTCTCTCTGTCTCAGATACACTCCTGAAGGTCTCGCTGTTTGTGGAGAACCATCACGAGGTGAGCTGCTCACCTGGCTCCTGACAGGCAACAGGGACTGGCACCCACCAGCTCCTGGCATGTTCTGCGATGCTGCAAAGGGGATGAGGAGTTGAGGGAGCTCTCCTGGTGCTTTTTTGGAAGCTGAATGGGTTGAGTCTTGCCCTCAGCATGAAATGCTTGAACTGTACCATTTTCAAGTGGAAATGGCCATGGCCTCTGAAGAAGAGGCTGAGCTGAAAAAGCCCTGAGGATAGAAGGGAGTCACCTCCAGCTGGGAACTTGTCCTTTCCCTCTTCTGACATGCATGTCTTGTGTCATGGTAAAAACTTTGGTAGGTACTTATGTGAGGTGCTGCAGATGTGTGAGTGTAATAGAGTCCTTCAGGCTGGTGCCATGGAAGATATTTGGGCCCTGTCCTTACAAATAAAAAAAACATGTCAGACTGGGGTTTAGAGACAGTGGTCACCTCATGTCTTTGAGCAGTGTGTATGCATTCATTCCACCTGGGCGTGGAGGAGGAAGGAAATAAATCTGGCTTGAAGATGTAACTATGGAGGTGCACAATGCCGAGTCCTGACACGGGCACTTTTCAAGGGTGTTGCAGAACACTGCTCTGTTACCACAGAGCAGTCTTTAAATCAGTCTTAAAATATCACTGGTAGCCACTGCTGACAGCTCAGGGACACCTTTTGTTAGCCATGGCACTGATCCTCTGAACGTGCCTGGGAAGCAGTGGGGTGTTTGCCTCTCTGTTATGTATGGGAAGAAATGATGATGTCTGACTCCAGTTCAGAAGGCTGATTTCTTTATTATAACTATACTATAATACATTAATATACTATTTAGAGGAGATACTAAAACTACCAAACTACTTTTTCTAACTACCATAGCTAACTCACAACTTATGACCCTCTCTTGCGAGTCCAGACCCAGGTGGATTGGATTGGCCATCAGGCTTAAACAATCCTCACCACAATCCAATCAAGCAATCACCCCAGGTAAACAATTCTCCAAACACATGCCACATAGGAAAAACAAGGAGCAGAAATAGAAATTGTTTCCTCTTTCTGCGCTCCTCTGTGCAAAAATCCTGAGCGAGAGAAGAATGTGCCTGCCACAGTAAGGAGCTGCAGCTTCTCAGAGCCAGTAAAGAACTGCATGGCACACTGGGTTTGGAGCATGGCTGATGGCTCCGTGGGGGTGAAAAACCCAGCACAAACCAGTTTCCAGCCCTAGAGAATTCACCCTAGGGTGGATCAGGGGTGTCATCCTTGCTCAGGCCTTAGTGGGTCATCCTCGCAAACCCCTAGGTCATGGTGAGCTTGCATGCAGGATTCTCTTTGCATGTGTGCATGCTGTACAGCTCTTCAACACCCCTCTTCTGTCAGCCTCTCTTCAGGACAGCTGCCCAATGAACAAATGGATTTAAATTCTGGAAGATGTTCAGCACAGTTCAGTGGTGGCCCTTCTTCTTCTCCCAGATGTTTGGCCCCTGATGTCTGTCTTTGTGCTAACAACAGCCCTGCTAAAAGTGCTGAGGGAGCTTTCTGTATTGAAAGTGGCCATGCCCTGACTCTGACTGAAATGGGGTGAAGGAGGTGCTCATTGAAGTTGTGGTGTGATTAATTGCTCTGTGCTCTTCTGGTTGATGGGCCGTGTCATCAGTTGCATTTGTCTGCAGCGTTCTGCGGGGTGCGAGCGAGTCTCTGCATCAGAACGCTCTAATTGGGATCAGCTGTGGCCTTGTTCCATTGCAGATCTGCATCTTCTGTCAGGATGGCTGCCAGGGACCCCATTGCTAAGGAGGACACGGTTCCTCGTGTGTGCAGCCCTCCCTTCAGCTGGCATTTGCCCTGGAGTCACTGGGGGTTCAGGGGTTTCCCATGAACAAAGCCAAGCTGGGCATTTGTCAGGGTCAGCTTAGCAAGACCCCAGCAGTGTGAAAGTCCTTTTTTCCCCAGCCTGGCTGCTGAAGAAAAGGTCTGGAATGTGTGAAGCCGAGTTTTCAAGGTTGTTTATTTTTCCTCATCTAGAATAGTTTCTCTCTGACCTGCCGAGGTCTGGCTAGTATAGAATCCATGGCAGTCTCCCCTGAGTCCCAGGCATCTCTCACATTATATACCCAAAATTATGTGTACCATATTTACAGTTCCCGTACCAATACCTAAAATCTATGTTGGACAGTGTGTCCCTATCCTAGACCAATAAAAAAGTGTCACTATCACACTGAGACATGGAGGGCAAGGAGAACAAGAAGGTTAGGACACGCCCAAGTCCCTCCATCTTGTCCTTTGAATTACATTCAAAAAAATCCCAAAATTCTACTTTTCTACCCTGTGTCAATTCCTCCATTACACTACTCAAACCCTTTTGGCTTGTAATTCCTCATATAAGGTTGGCAGCCTCTCCCATGGGCTAAAATCAAAGCCACAGCTGTTTTTGACTTGCTGCCAAGGCTCCTGAGCCCTTTGCCAGGGTCTCGAGGCATCTGGGGCAGCCAGAGGGATGCTCTGGACTCTGACAGGCATTCAGCCTTCATCACGTGTGTCAGCAGGCAGGTGGAAAGGCCACTGCTGCTCCTCCTTGCTTGCCAGCCTGCAGGGCTGAGTCAGACCCCTGCTCACAGCACAGGGATGTCTCTGGGTGCCAGATTTCAGCACCTTCCCAAGTACTGGGGCAGGAGGGAGGTGAGGGAGAGCAGCAGCTGCTGCTCCAGCTGCCTGCAGAGCCAAATGTAGGGTCAGGGTGATGCCTTTTCCTTGGTCCTAAAATTAAAAGCCAGATACAGCTAAGGGATAAAAAGGTTTTTATTTTGGTATTTATAAGGATCCTTATGGTGCAACACTTCATCAAGGTGGAGTATGCTGAAATGTACACCTGAGGGATTGTGTGTACAATTTTATAGATTTTGTAAATTAGTATATCTAATAAATATGCTTCAATGACATGCTTGAATGAACAGCGTGACATTTTCTCTTCTCAAAGTATTCCCTCTTAGATAGGCTTAATATTAGTTTACAGGATGTATTTTAGATGGGACCTTGGTTTTTCAAGATAGCATAGGGCCTTCCATCTTCCATCCACAAGGCCTTTAGGATGTTTGGTATTCTGACTTAAAAGAATACCAGGACTATATTAAGTTATCAGACTTAAGGAATTCCAAGTATGTATTCTAAGAGCACTGAAAATACATAAAAAAATCTAGAAAAGATATATAAAATATATATAAAAGAAAAGGCAAACATGCAACATGGCATCAAGGGGCTCCAGCCTGTGCAGTGCCTTAGTGAGGTTATGGGTAAGGCAGCACTAAGGGCTCCGAGATCAACTGGTAAAATATATGTAACCATAAAAATAAATCCAAGTACCTTTATTTTTGGAGTAGAGCTCTTAAAGTATTCTTGCACAGAGATCTGTCTTTGAGGAATGCAATAAAATGCAGTTAGCAGCTGGAGCTACCTTGTTAAAGGAAAATTGTCAGGAAACACAAAGCTCACACTTTGATTTTCAGCTTTACCTCCTGCTAACTCCATTGGAAAACACTTATTCTTCACTTACAGGAAAAGCACAAGCTAAATTCAGTTACTGAATTCAAATGCCCACCAACATTTAAAAGGAGCACCTGACTTGTGCATGGTTTGTTTTCTTCCCATAGAGGTGAGCACTGGCTGCTGGTGCAGCAGGGCCTTTGCAGTCCTGCTTAGAAAGGGGGACCTGCTCTGGGTAACACCAGACTTCCAAACTAAGCCCAAAGGCTTTGCTTCAGCATAAGCTCGTGGATTTGAAACAGATTTCAAAACTAAGTGTATTACAAGAGCCCACAGTTATGGAAAAGAGAGAGGATTTGGCACCTGAAGTGTAAAGTGCCTCGGAGGCAGAAATATGTGATAAAAAGCTTTGTGATTAATTTAATAAACCAAGTATGGGTTTCACAAGTCCCTATGCTTTTTGAGCTTATTGTTTGAGACTTTCATCTTGGCCTGAAGCAGAACTCTTTTGTGACTTTGCTGAGGGGCTGCCTGAGTACTTACTTGCTCTGAAATACAGCAAACATTCTCCACTACCTGTCAGCTGGCTTTTTTTTGCTGTTCCCCAGTCTTGGCCCAGTGTTTCTCTAGTGCCTGTGACTTTGTCACAGCTTCTGCCCAGCTGAGCTCCAAGGAGGGGCAGATTCTGCTGATGTGATGGGTGTGCAGTGAGTGAGGACACATCTGGCCTGCAGCAGTGAGGAGTTTTCCCACGTGGGACGTGCTCAGCACACAGCCCTTGTCTGCCCTTGCAAGAGCAGGAATGAGCCTGGTGAGCTCTTTGCCAGTGTGGTCTGGCCCCAGACCCCCACAGACCTCTAGGGCTGCCTGTACTGCATGTGGACAGAGCATTGCCCATCCTCCAGAGGTTTTATTTCAATCCTCTCTTCCTGCTTTTCCCCCCAGCCCTTTCCCTCCTCCTCTCTCCTCCTGTGGACACAGATCTGCAGTAGGTGTCTCCTGAGCTTGCCTAAGCTCCCTGTCCCAAGCATCCTCCTGACTAATTCTTTCCAGATGTCTGGGAACTTTTATGTTTAGCAGTTTTGCTCAAGTTCTTCATTCATTTTCTGACTGAGCAAACCTGTTTCCTAGTGTTATTTGAAAATTATAGACTGATCATGGCTTCCTAAGAGCTGCTTCTGCCTCGTGGTGGAATGTTTTAGGTATCACTGCAGCCTTCCACCCCTGAACTAGAGCACAACATATATCCATAAATAGCACAGAAGTTTATTTTCCATAGTTGACAGCTCCAGGGCTGTTCATGGAGTCTTGAAAACACTCCATGCTACATTTATACCCAGCCAAGTGTCAGGTTGTTGGCTTGGACTTTCCCAGCTACAGCAGCTTGGAGAAATTAGGAGATCTGCCCAGTGTTCCTCTGACTGAAACCAACAGTAGAATGTAAGTGGTTCTGCCCATCCTATCATCTACTTTCCTGCTTAACTTTGTTTCTGGGGAGATGACTTCTCCTTCCAAAGGGGTTTGACTCCCTTTGGGGAGATGCCTGGGCAGGGCATGTGGTCAGTGGCTCCTGCTGCTCACGCTGCCCAGGTGAGCTGTGTCCTGTCCTGGCTGTTGGCACTGTGCAGCTGCTGCAGCTGCTGCAGCTGCTGCAGCCTCAGGCTGTGCTAAAGGCTGCATTGGTGCAGCTCTGGGGACACCGGCTGTCTGTCACCCCAGAGCCAAATGTCACTGAATGTAGGATGGAAGCAATGCCTCCATGTGCATGAGGATTTGCAGCAGGTTTTGGCTGCTGGAAAGAAGCTTTGGGCTGTTCAGTGAAACTGATGCCTTGTGAAGGCTGATCTAGAACAGAGACCAGACAGAGCTAAAGAATAAAGTGAGAATTTATTAAAAGGCCTCAATGGATCCACCTTGGGCAGCACAAGAGCCCAGCCAGGGCTGCACCAAAGATGAACCAAAATGGTCACAAGAAATGGACAACCAGTCACGAGGTCTCTCACTTTTATCAGTTCTGCTACATTTGCATGTTGGTGTTAATTGTCCAATTCCAGCTTTAAGTTATGAAGTCCCATCCTTCTTGTTTTTCTCTCTCCAGCCCACGTTGTTTGTGCTCCTGGGCCTGAGATTTGAATCATTTGTCCTTGGCCCCCAGCTGGAGAAGGATTCGTTTTGTCTCCCTACTCTGTGCAGAGAGCTCACCATCCCATAATGTGAAGCTCAGACCCACACACTAAAGCAGCACAGAATGTGAAAAACATAAAACCCGAGTTGTCAGAACTTGGGAAATTCTCGTCTTTTTTCTTGAATTTTAATTTGCTTTAGGATTTACCTTGCACGGTACACGGTGATTGCAAAATGCCTGTGGTGGGAGAGAGACTTGGCCTTCCCTGGGTTCAGATTTTGTTATGGAATCGTTCTGTGCTGTTGGCACCCCAGGGTCCAGGAGTGGGGATGTGCTGGAAGGACAAACCTGCCTTGTTGCCCTGTACTACCACCACCTTCCCAGGTAACTGTGCCTCCCCACACAGCAGAACATACAGAAATATTAAACATCTATTTAATTTCCCAACAAAGCCCCCTGAGATTCAGTTCCCCTCTGTCCCCCAGCATACCACAGCTGCCTCTTCACTGGGGCTGACATGGGATGGCTCCCTGCTCTCCCTGGTCCTTCTCTCCACAGCCCAGACAGTCTCTAGGCCTCCTGGGGAAGGCAGAATGAAGAACATCAAGCCAGTAAGTCTCCTAACCATTCTGCTATGTGAGGAACGAATCCAAGAGCCTTTGCACACTATTAATCTTTTCCAGTTCCTAAGAAAGCAAATGATCTCCTCCCGCTCCCATAAATTCAACCTCTCTCTCCAGCTTCTCCCCTGGTGTTTGAACTGTTCGCCAAGAGCTTTATTAAAACCTACAAGATGCAGTTTTGTTCCTCACTGAATCCTAAACAACTGTGCTAGATGGAGAAGAAACATTTGGTTCTGTCAGCTTTAGAGCATTTTTGTGTGTAGTCCATGGCCACTTGTCAGCCAGGGACCAGCCTCAGCCCCACACTGAGCCCAGCAAGACCTTTGCTCTGCTCCCCTGAGGCTGGGAGATAAACTGAAGCTGGCCAAACCTCATGGCCTCATGTCCAAAAGCACCTGGCAATGACCCATATGGGGAGCAGCAGAGGGGATGCTCCTTTGGATGCAGCGTGGCCCTGTGGCACTTTGCCCTCCCGTACCAATGTCTGCAGCTTGCCAGTGGCCCTGGGGACAAGCTGTGCCAAGCAGCTGCTGTGCCCTGGCTGTTCTCCTCTCCTGCTCTGAGTGGAGAGGCTTCTGCTGCAAACCCTCTGCCTGTCCCCTTGGCATGGCCCATGACCACTGCTGGGGTTTGGGGCAGCAGGTGATGGTGCCCAGGTGCTGGTGGGAGCAGAGAAGCTGCAGCTGGTGCTGGCCAGCTGTGGGTGTGCTGGGACAGCCAGGGGGAGCCTGGCAGGTCCTGTGGGTGCACACCAGAGCAAAGGTGAGGTGCACACCAGGGTCCTGCCAGCTGCCGTGCATCACCACTGCTCCTTGGCACATGGTGCAATGTGTCACAGCCTTCTCCCTTTCGTTTCCTAACATTCCCTCAGTCTGAAACTCATCAAGCAGTGCTGAGAGAAAACATCCACAGACGAAGCCAAAGCAGAACTGAGCAAAGCTGTTCCTTTGGCTGGATTCCTCCAGCTCCTTGTGTGCCACTACGTGGTTTGAGCAAGAGCCACCTTCTCCTGCCCTGTGCACCTGAGCCATGGGCAGGGGACAGCAATCTTCAGCTGCTGTGGGGGACAGCTCTTGCTGTGGCTTTGCCCAGGAGAACTACCTTTCATAGTACAGTTCTGTTACCTCTGCCCAAACCCCAGGGAAGGGGTGAGAGTAGGTTGTGTGAGGGGGAAGACAAAGCTATGGAGCATGGCTTGCACAAGGAGTGCCTTTAAACTTCATAAATCTACTTGTGAGTCAGTTGGCAGGAGCAGGAGAGGGATGGGAGAGCCGGTATAGATGTGCCCAGAGGAGAAGCAGCCTGAGGCAGCTCTGGGACCAAGCAGCCCACAGCTGCTCTGCTGGAAGCAGGGGCTGGGCCACCTGAGGCACTGACAGAAAGTTCTGCTCATGAGGAACCTGAACAGGAGCCCCTGTGCAAGCCCAGAGCTCACAGGGGCTGAGCCCTGGCACAGCAGGGTTTGGGCACTGCTGCCCATCCCACCTGGCAGCTGGGGTGCCACAACCCCTGGGGTGCCTGCCTGTGGGAACAAAGGGAACCAGGAGTGTGGAAAAGCCCCAGAGGTGAATAATGCAGCCCAGCTTTTGCTGGACATGGCTCCCCCGGCTCTGAAAGGCTTTTTGGTTTAATGAGATTAGTCTGTAAGCTCTGGAGATGTCAGCCTGCTGGCAGCTCCCTGTTCAGTAGTTCCTCGTGTGCCAGGGAATGATGTTCATTCCATTGGCCTTGGCTCCGCTGGATCAGGCTGTTGCTCTGCTTCTCAATTAGCTGCATCTGCGTGGCAGTAACGAGCTGGAGGTCACACAGCCCGGAGAGGGGTGCTGAAAAGTTCACTCGTGTGGAAGGGAGCCCTCTGTGCCCCCACCCAGTGGGGCTCTGGGCCCAGCCTGACCCCTGTTCTCCCCAGGAGCCCCACTGAGGTCCAGCCCCTGCTTATCACTGCTGTGGTGACACTGCACAGCTTGCTGTGTGCTGGAGAGGCTGTGCTAGTGAGAGCTCCAGGCGGGGTCTGTGCTGACATTATTGAAGCTACTGCTAATAAAACATGTCACTACAGGGGCCAGGGCCACATCCGATCCTGCAAAGGGAAAGCAGAAATCCAAACAAAACCCAAAACCTCCAAAGGGCTCTAACCAAGCACGTGCTGATGTAGGGATGGATTTCCAGGGATGCAGACCCCACTCCTGCCACCCTGCCAGGATGAGAGGGCTGGCTCTGCAGCAGGGACAAGTGGCACACGGGAGTCCCAGGTTCCCAGTGCCACATCCTCATGCATGTGCTGGACCCTCCCTGTGCAGGAACTACAAATAAATGCTGTTGATGCCTCTGCCCACCCGTCAGGGATTAGGACATGCTGGAGCAATTTGCATGGGGATGAAACTTGGAAGAAATGGCAAAGCTGAGGGAATATGATATTATTTATTATTGCCAGTTGCAAGGGAACAGCAGCAGCCTCCAAACTTGTATAACTCTGGAACATGACTATTATTAGAACACAAAGTTAGCAAGCAATTAGCTAATTGCAATTCACATTGTCTGTTGGCAATTATAAGGAGAACAGTTATAAACCCCAACAGCTGGAACTCAAATGGGTCAGGCTCTCTTTTTCTGCTTTATTTTTTCCATCCCCAAAAGGCATTTGCTATGAGCTAAACTCAGGTTCTCAGTAGGGCTCATGAGAGCAGCCAGCTGTGAGTCAG